AAAAGTGAATTTAAATTCATGAATATGATAATATGGTCAAACTTTTCCAGTAGCTTGCTTACATTGTGATCAATGTCAGATACGTAAACAGTTCGTCTAACACTATCTTCTCTCTGAGCTCTAGAAGCTCTGCCACTCATTCTTTTCTTACCATTGTTGTAGTTACTCCTTCTCTGTGGAAAACACGAAAAAAGAACAATACATGATGTGTAAAACTCCACTAAAAAGCTTTTAAAACATATTTGACGTCATACAACATTGCCAAGTAGTGATTTGGCGATTGTTTGACTAATGAATCGGATTGCTAATTAAGATACTCAAAATAAGGAAATTATATAATTGCTGATCCTTGTTTAGATGACATTGAAATTCAAACGAGTGCATTTATATACAACATCGGTCAAAATGAACTAGTAACCCATATATAAGTAAAACAGTATAACAAAATGACATCTTTTCTTCTCCAAAATATTTTTTCCCTCAAGCCCAAACAGAGAAAAAGTTAATCAAATTCTTGTATCGATTCACAAACAATGTCTAGTATCATCAAAGAGCAAATTGAAAGTAAAACCAAAGTAACAACTTAGCAACATGGACAACAAAATGTGACCCTCGATTTATTTACTAAAAAAGGGCATAAAGTTTTCGTTCTACTGATTATTTCACAAATAAAACATGGAATTTACGATTAATTCTCAAAAACATCCAGCAGTAAAGCAATATTCAACACCAAATCACCAACAACAAGAACCAATACAATAATTTTTCAAGCTCCAACGAATACATGAGCTACAATCAAACTCAACTGACCAAATCAACCAATTGGAAAAAAAAAAAAGGAAACAGAATTTTATAATACCCTTCGATTGTTCGGAACCCCATCAATTCCAAAATTCTTATCATTAGGCACAAGATTGTTAGCCCCCATTTGGCCCTGATGATAGGAGGAAGGGAAAAACTCCTTGGCCATGGGGTTCAACTTTAGCTTCTTCAGCATATCAACAATTTCCTTCATTTGCATTCCCGATTTCGGGTTCGGATCAGAGCCCTTATGACCATCATCGGCCACGTCATTTTCCCTAGACTCAACAGAATCTGAATTATCAATTTTCCCTTCACTAATAATGGTCGTAGCAACAACTGCTGCCTCATCAGAAACCTCTGCACCAGCAGCCATTGGATCAAATACAAGAAAAAAGGCACTATAACACCTTCACGGCAGATAACGACACTCAGAGCAATAGATTATCCACAAAAAAGGATTCAGACTAAAAATTACGGAACAGATAAAATAAAGCTCAAATCTTTTCTTCTACAAAAGTACAGAGATCAGTGAAGAAAGGGTTTTCCCTTCTCTATCTCAGATTTGTGGGATCCTGTAAGCAAACCTAGCTAGATTCTCTCAGTGTAGGCTTAACCATAGAAATTAACAACAGGGCTACATCTAAAAATCCATATCCGTGGACAAGGACTAGGGATGGCGGTAGAATAGTGAAGGATGATAGTGATGATAAAGATGCAATTTTTCTTGAAGGGTTTTCCTCTTTTTCTCTCTTNTGTTTTCTGTAACAAATTCTTGATCACAAGTGGCAGTGATGGTTTATGGAAGCCACCAACAGGTGGGCTATGGCTTTGGGTTCTCTCTCAACCCTTCTTTTTTCTTTGGTTTTAGAGAGACGAAGGATAGTAGTGTAAAATGTGAGTGGGATGACTGAGCTAATGTAGGATAACTAGTTGAGGTTCTCCTTTTGTTTTCAGGATATGGCTTTCATAAATCATCTAACTGCCCCTATTGTAATTTTTTTTACTAGCAAGTCTCAAAATATATATTTTTCTTGCTTTTAAAAAAGAGAGGCATTTATCAAGTATCAATTTCTCCTGCTTTTATACAATTTAAATCATTTTTTTTTTTTGTTCAAAATTGATGAGCAACAACAGTCATAAGATATCTTCTAACACAAATATTGCAGGAGTCGGTCTAATCGTTAGACAGATTGATCTATCATGCCTTTGTAACAAAAATGGATAATTAAGTTAACACAAATTCTCGTGAGAGTCGATTTAATCGTTAGAGGATCGACCTATCATACGTTTGTAAAAAAAAATGTATAATTATGTTACGAAATGCTATTCGATTATTTGTGTGTTTTTATTTTTAAATATAACATTTGAAGTGTGCATATATTAGTTCCACTAACAGGAAGTATATTATGTTGCATTTGAATTAGTGATTAAGTGATTTCATTCGTGTGCATAATATTCGTTCATCTTTTTTTATTTTTAAGAAGAGAATAAAGTCAGAGATCCTCTATATACTCACTACACGTGAAGGAGAGAAAATAGTATGAAAATTGAATTAGAAAACTGCAATTACATCACAATTGCAACATAATCGATTTTGAAGTACGGGATCTTGTTAGTCTTCTTTGTCATCACTGTGTTTAATTAAGCAGGTTAAAAGATGTGAATTTTCATTTTCTTCAAAGTGTTAATTTATATTGTGCAATTATGTGAGGTTAAAGTATTAATTAATGGTGGAATACATGTTCTATGGTGAGATTTGGCCCAAGCAAATACTACATTGACAATTATGTATTTATGTATCATAGGTCTGGTATTTATATGGATGAAAAATAAAATTTATAAGTTTTGGCGTAATTATTTATTTTGGAAGAAAAAAAATGTAATTATGAATGCTAATTTAATTAAAGCAATAAGATTAACGTGCCTACAGTGCAATGACAAATTAGTCAATTACTGCACACACATATTTCTCAACTGTTTAAACCTTTTCTTGTACTTTTCCAGTTTCTGTACTTGAAAATCTGATATGATTCTCAAAATTATTTGCACACATGACAATTGGTAAAATCACAAATCACAATAATTATGTTATCATGCCCAGTCAATCTTCTGCAAGCAGAATAATAATAAGTTGACCTTTTTTTTTTTACTAAATAACAAAACTAATAAAATATTAAATGTATCAAATATAACATCAATCCTTTCTGTATTGATTACTGACCTTTCCATAGTCTTCCCACTGGTCATTTTTTTTTTTTCTTTTCCCAAATTTTATATTTTTAAAGAATAAAAGAATAATTTGCAACGAGTGTAAGTCTCAAAAGGATCTTAATAACTGGACTTTTCTTGTGGATTCGTTCTACATGCATAGATAACAAATGATTTGGAATAATGAGATTGTTTCAGTAGACAGTAGCATGTTAAATAAAATTATAATATATTCAACGAAATGCACTATTTTTTTGCATTTCTATGTACATATTAATATATAGGTAATTTAGTGAACTCAGATCTTAGAATTATCTTTCTCTTTTGTTTTCTGCATTTTTTTTTTATTTAAGTTGTCATTACCGTACTTGAGTTTGGCTTATTTATTAACATTAGTGAGCCGAAATATTTGAGCTGAACTAGGCTCGATTCGACTTTTTAAGTATCACTTCATAATTATACGTCAAGCCCAAAAAAAACGTGGTCACAATTATACAGACCACTGAATGGAAAAGCACGGGCCTGCTGTATTTAGTTAAAGTCAATGAAAACGGCCCAATATCTTATTGGGCTTCAAAGAAATTAGATCAAAAGCTGTAAACTATGGAACTCTTTTCCTCCCCGCGGCCCACAAAGCATCATGATCATAAGTGGGAGCAGAGTGAATCGAAGTGGGGCGGGTCAACTGTAGATTAATATTATAACAGGGATATCTACTTAAAAAGACCAGTGTGGGTTTAGGCCCACTCTGAAAAATACAAAGTTAACATAGCATTTCTAAGGCCCTAGTAAGTTAAATAAAATCTATTATTATATAAAGAGGTAATTCAATAAATCCTAAAATAGTAGCTAAAAAATAATTAGAATTCCCGCCTAAAAATTTACTAAACATAGTAACTTTTTTAAAAAAATTTAGAAATCCCGCCCAAGCATAATTTGAAATTTTCAGTCAAAAATTTAAATTCAAACGTTTAAATAAAGGATTGCCTGCAGATTTTTTTGGATATATTTAATCTTTATCTTATGTTTCAAATAATCTCTTCATTGTAGTTCAAGTTTAATGTACATTAAATATTTATTATTATTATTATTATTATTATTATTATTATTATTATTATTATTATTATTATATAAAGGTTTGATTATTTTTTAAATAGTAAATATTTTTCACCAAAAAAAATCTATTTAATATTTTGAAGAAATAATTAACACATAAAAAGTTTTATTTTTAAGATAATTACTCAAATCATGTGACTTCGGATGATTTACCCAAATATGTCAATTTCGGATGCAATATTAATTATGTGATTTGCTAAAAAAGTCCAACTAAATTGTGTAACTTATTATTTAATAAGTGTTTTATATTTTTCGTGTAATTCTTTTATGGAATGTATTATTTTTTCTGTTACCATATGAAATGTATTTTTAATATAGAATAATTACGCAAATTGTGTAAATCCAACTGGTTTATTCATTTTGCAAATAATTACTATAATTATAGAAATATTGACAACAATAATCAATTATGCAATTTAAAAAAAAAAATTGTTAATTTACTTAATAAATGTTATTCATTTTTTGTGTATTTAATTATTCAACTTGTGGATAATTAATCAAATAATATAAAATTTACATTTTTAAGATATCCTAATTACACAGGTCATATAGATTTTGTTGATTTATTCAATTATAAATTTTTATAAAATTGTTCCAAGATAATTGTGTTAATTGCAATTTTCTTTCAATTATTTTTTAATAACTATTTTTTGGGTCTTTTTTATTTTTATCTATGAAAAATGTGGCTCTCGATTTTGTTTTCTACGTCGGGAAATTAATTTGTGGTAAAAGTAATTATCATTTTTTGTATTTTATTGATAAAGTATAAAATATAATTCTTTAGTATACTATATATTGATCCAATATACCGGCTTATGGTAAGAAATAGTATCTCAATATTTTTTTTCCATATTACTAAGTATTTTACTCGATATTAATGAAAGAAAAATCTGGAGAAGGTCGATACTTCTTTATAAATATATATACCAAATTATTTGGTATATATATTTATTAAATCGACCAATCTAATTAAATTACACAATACTATTCACACAACTTAACAACCACAACGAAAAAAAAATTGAGATACCCAATCATACCATAGCAATCAGTCAATCTCATACAGTAATTGATCAACAAGTAATATACTAATAGGATTTAGTAACATCCCAATTGATCAACAGTAGAATATTTCTAAATTGAATTTCATCCAATCAAAAAAATTATACCGCATTTAAATTCAATGAGAATTTGTTTAACAATTAACTAAAAATATAATTGTCAAACAAAGTAAAATTTAATGTATTAAATAAAGTAAACGTTTTACATTACAGAAATCGTGTACTAAAGAATTTGTACAATTTTTAAATTGATTTATTGCAATTTCTTATACTTTTCATATCAAAAATATTTATGGAATTTAACTAAATTATACTTTGTTTTTCCTTTATAAATTCAGTCATTTTTCGATCATTTGTTGTTATTCTTCATTTGATTTCATTTTTAATATTCTAAGTATTGATTTTATCTTTTATTTAATTCAAGATGAAGTGCGAATTTGGTTTGATCAACAAAGTCACTAGAACTAAGAAACTACATATGAAGTTGTGAATAATTGAAAATAAATTTGCTGTTGAATACAAAAACTACTTGGAAATTTTCTTTCATGATGAGGAGATAACAATAAATAACTTATTTTGAATTCATTTTTCCATTGTTTTTTTTACTTCATTATATTTTTAACTAAACATGTTTTATGTAAATTTGCACAATTTAAATTTTATAGGTAAAATGCATTACATGTATATTTCATATTTTAACTTTATAAATATTATATAATGAGCATAGTTAATTTATAAATATTAATTAATATTTCTTACCCGTGCACCGCACGGGATTCATACTAGTAAGCTTACATGAAAACAAGGGATTTATCTACAATCCCGTCACGGAATGATTCCATGAGAGATTTTAGCCATCAGACAATAATTGTATATTTGATGGCTAAAATCCCTCACGGAATCATTCTGTGACGAGACTATAGACAAATTTGAAAACATGATACGAAAGGTGGATTTAGGAAGAAGAGAGAAAAAAAATATAATAAAAATAAGTTGAAAAATATAATTTTTGTCAATAATTCTTGAAAATTCATGAAATATAAAACTTATTTTGTACTTAACGTCATTTATTGGTTGATAATTTTAACTGCTATTTTTAATTTTTGTGATACCATATGCTATACAATAAATTTGTTTATGATGATATTTGATAATTGGTCCCTTTGATTTTTTTCTTTGTATTAGGTTAACCATTAAATTAAATATGGTTTGAATATTTTATTAAATGTTGTTTTAATTAATCTAAGCGAAACTCGAAATCGATATAAGTTATTATCTAATTCTCATAATAATGTATATAGGTGCTAAAATAGTAGTAAGCGATGGTTTGAATGTATAACTTTTTTTTTTTAATTTAATAAAGCAGATGAATATAAACCTTTAAAATGGCCATATCAAGAAAATGTGTGAAATTATTATCTTCTTGAAATGTTTATGTTTTTGTTTTTGATTTTTTACTTAAAATATTATGTTTTATTTTTTTTATTTTTTTTGTCTTTGATATTTTACTTATTAAATATTATGTCATGCTACTTTAAAAAATTTAGGTCCCTATAGATTGCTAGATTCGCCCTGTGTTATAAGAATGTTGAGTTTTTACCTAATTGGAATAGTTTTTTATTTTTTTTAATTAGTCGCAATATAAATTATTGGTGCGATTTTTGTTAAATTTATTTATTAGATGTTATCTCTCATGAATTACTTTTCAGCAATTTACTCAA